GGGGGGGGGGGGGGGGGGTGGGGGGGGGGGGGGGGGGGGGGGGGGGGGGGGGGATTAGCATGATTCTTGTCACCCAATTTTTTGGGTGCCCTGAAAATTGGGTGACCAGACCACAGTTTGGTGGGCTGGGGATTGGCAAGGCCAAGAACTGCCCTGGCTGGTGGTTGGACCAACTGGCGCTTGATGACCGGCAGGTGCGCAACTGTGAATTGACCGACCAGCAGCTGACCAGACATGACTCAGTTTATACCATTTGGTTGATAATTCAGTGACCTACTTAGGTTCATTAACCTGCGCAAAAATACCTGCGGAAATAAGTAAGCTGCAGTGTGAAATCATTTTTGCTACACAAAGATTTGATTTTGCTCACAAAAGATGAAAAATAGCTAAAGATTCAGGAAACTGATAATAAATCAGAAATTGCTAATGAATCAGAGATTGCTGAAGTATGAGTTTGCTAAAGTATCCAAAGTTGCTGGAGAATCAGCAAGTTGCTAATGATTACTGATTTTGCCAAAAGAGCTCAGCACTGGAAAGGCATGAAGGGTTTGAAAGGGATGCACAAATTACTCAGCCAGGCTGTGGCTGGTACCTTGTGTCCAAGTATAAAGTTGTTGTATTGAACAGTTTAAAAACAGACAAGTGTTTTGTCAAGTTGTTGGAATTCATGTGGTTTGACAAACTTTTTGGAGAACACCAGAAAAGTTTCCCATGGCTGGCTTTCTCCAGAGCTCTGCTTGGTTCAATGCAAAAATTCAGAGTGATGGAAGATGGAGACAAAATCAGAGACAAAATCAAGTCTGATGATTACAGTTTGGAGGTCAAGTTCAACCATCTCCAAGGAATGCAAAATTCTATGTCCTTGATGAGCCTGGGAACCAAACCTGGCCGGGTTGGTTCCTCAGGCTCACCAAAAGAAACATGGTTTTGCTTCAAGAAGATTATTGCTAATTCAGCAAGGTGTTGTCCTGATGACATAAATATTTGGCTCAACAATTTTTTTTTACTTTTTTTGGCTAAGAAACTTATTTCTTTTAGTTAGATTTGGTCTTTCATTGAATTACTATATTGGTGGAACAAGCATCCATTAGACCCAGAAAATGCAAGTACAGTACTATAAAACAAAATTGAAGCATTGGAAACACTGAATACAACCTGGCATGGGGTTGGCTGGGGAGATATACACACATTTGCAGTCCACACATTGTACCTTGACTGCTTCTTTGCAGATAACAGAGGATCTTTTCTGGGATTTTCCTCCACAAGGATCCCTGACCAGCCAAGTCTCTTCTCCAAGTAATAAGTGGTGGAAAATACTTTGCCATCCAGAGCCCCACTCTCAAAAAACTTTCCAGGTTTTTTAAACTGGAACATGAACAACATTATATAGTCAAAATGATATTGTCTCAATGGACATTCTCATATACATTCATGAATAACAGAGGAATAACGGTTGATTTCATGATAAAGCCTTCAGATGGGTCCTCAAACTCATAATCAAGCACTGCCTGAGGTATTATGTCAGGATTAGGGATCCTTCCAGAACCACTGGAGTGGATTAAAAAATTATCTCCCATGTACTGAATCAAATGAGGATCCTTTTGCATTTCCAAGTTCCAGTTAAATTAGGCATTTTTGGAAAGGTCACAGGGTGTCTCCAGCCATCACTTTCAACTTGTCAGTTTTCACGTGCACCTTGATATCCTCTTTTTCTTGACTCCATGTCAAAAACCACTTCAAAAGTAATTTTCTGTGAGAATTTGCAGATAGAAACCACCTGAGTTGAGACATAATTTGAGGACTCTAAATCGGAACCTCCTGATTTTTTTTTTGCAGCACTATAGCTACAGGGCCAAAAACAACACCCCAAATGAATTTCCCATTAGCATTCATCTGGCAAAATGACCTCGTGATTTATTTCCATTGGTAATTCAACATTTTCTCTCATTTTTTTGTGCTCATGTTTCATAGGGAATGAATATTTGTATTAACCATAGCGCAGCTCTCTACCGGTGCTATAGCTGAAGTAAGAGCAACAGATGTATGCTGAAAAAGCTAAGACATCAGCAAAAAAGGTCCTTTTCTCCATTCCTGTGCATAAATCTCTTTGCATATGATTAGTTTAATGGGAAGCCATAATCAATGTTAAAATTTTCCCGGGCAGAAAAATTACTGCTGCTCAACATGTAATGTGTACAAAGCAAAACTGACTGAGTTAAACACAGTGAGACCCATAGGTTTGTATGGACACACCAAAGTATGGACAATTTGACTTAGGGACACTTGGAAAAAAAAAAACAAGGACCAATATCCAGACATTGGCTGGAGTTAACAGCACTTCTCTGACATTTTCTAAAAAAAAATTTGAAACTTTGTTATGCCTTTTCAACAAAATCAATCTACAGTATTCACATTCAAAATAGTAGAAAAAATGTGTCATGATGAATTCACTCTGATTCCTTATCAAAATCAAGCTGATTTTGTGCTTCTTTTTTCAGAGATGTTCCTGTCATTTGTGCATATTCTACCAAGACTTATTATTTTTTTTTTCTTTTTGATCTCATCTTGATACCAAAAGATAAGATTCTATGTGGTTGTTCTGCACTGTTTTTTTCAACAACTTGAAGCTGAGGGAACATTTTTTATCAAAATATTGTTCATTATATGTACCTTGTATAAATCTTTTATCTAAGAAATTCATTAAATTTTGGCACTTCATGTTGGTATCCCAGCAGCTAGAGTTGACAGAATTTCGAAATATTTTACAAGCACAGTAAAATTTCAATAGTAATAAGTCAACTATAGTGAAATTGTTTTATTGGTCCCTTTCAAGGTATAGCTATACAACGTTTAAAAATTGTATTGCAACTTTTTTTTACAAAGAAGCTATTTCCATGTCCCAATGTTTACATTTTTATGAGAGTTTTCTATGCTTGTTCAATTCCTTCAAACAAACTTTCATTTTTTTTAGCCCTCAAACTTTTACAGCAAACATTGTGTTGTATAGTTGAAACTTCAATAGCAGTACTGTTCATGAGTTGATTTTCCAGTTGATATAAAATGTGTATTGCATCAGTGCACCTTCTCAGGACACAGTGAAGATGTATTCACAGAGTACACAGACTGCAAAATTTCAAGTGCGACTGAAAAAGATTTGAAGGATTTTATATTGTCTAGTAGTCTTGTCTATATTGAATTTAAGAAGTACTGAACATATCTGGACTTCAATTCATTTATAAAGCAAATTCTTGCCAAATAAGGAGAAGAAAATAAGTGTCTTACATCAGATTTAAGAATATCTTCAAATCGTTGTTGAAATTCTACAAGAAAATTTGCACACAATTGAAGAGCATTGCTGTGAAAAATTGTTACTGGTGAGTCTATGTCAACTGAAAAATTGTTACTGGTGATTTTCTGTCAACAAATAAAGCTATGCAACAAATAAATTAATACTAATTACACTAATCATGCCAAAAATTAGCCAAAATTATAAATTTTTCACATGTATGTGATGAAAAGCAAAAAAAAAGTGGATGCACCAAATGAATTGTCAATAGATTGAATTCAAATGCCAGATTTACATAAAATCCTCAGCATATTTTTCAATAAATTTGCTGGCAGACAAATTTCTGCAAAAGCTTTCAGAAAAATCTCTAACACTCTTCAATGCTTTGGGAAAATATTATTGTAGATAATTTTGTCAGGGTTATAATGACAAATTACCTTCCGCTTCCTTGATCACCTTCCACAGTATAAAGGAAGAGAAATGAAATACAATGCATCCAGAGAATAATCATAAAATTCATCCTGCCTGCCAGAAAAAAAAAGAGTAAGAAATAATCATGTCACTGCAAAAGTAGAGCATCACATCCTCATTCTCATCATTGCAAAAAAAACAACACCCAAAATGAATAACCCAGATCATCATGCCAACAATCAAAAACAAGTTCAGACACAATTATTCATCCCTTGTTCAGACTTCTTCTTTTGTTCTGCTGCATCCCTCCTCAACTTGGAAAACACAATGCCATACAAACCCAAAAGGACTAGAACACCTGACCACAGGTACCTATATAGAGAGAGGGAAACAATTGCTGGGTAATCATGACACAAATTTTTGGCAAGATAATTTACAAATGTACACTCACTGATAGGAGAATGCTTTGGAGAAGAAAATGAAGGATCCAATGATGGCCACCACTCTTTTCAGTGTGGCCATACTCATGGCAGTGAGGGGATCAAACTCTTCCACTAAAATCAACACTACTGTTGTGTTGATATACCCAAAGGTGGCTTGAGCAACTAAGAGCATCCATGTTAGAGGTCCCTTTTCCTGTGGAATTCCATGCTTTTCAAAATTACTACATTCCTATATTTGCAAGCACCAAGTGCACTTATTTTAATCAAAATTTCAGGCAAAAATGTCATCCTCATCAACTGAATCACTTTTTTAAAGGCAATTTTTTCTATGGTTGATTATCATACCAGCCATAAAACCCTGAGACAACAGAAAATATTAAAAATGAATAAATATTAATCAATTCAATTCCTCTACAATTTTTCCAGAAGTGTTGTTCTGCTTCATGGCATTTTCTAATGGATTATCATATGCCCTTTGACTAAATATGTACACCAGGGTTTTACAGTCTAAATATTTTAAGAGAGTTTATGCTTGAGTAAGATGCACACCCCAATTTAAATGCATTTAAAATTGCAATACATCCACAGAAATAATATTAGCTGACTTTTAATTTAGACATGGATTGAACCTGAATTCAAATAATTTTCAGTTACTTCCAATAAAATTTGTTTAGCTGTTGAATTTAGTCAACTTTTTTTTTAAATTAAAATCAAGTATAATACAGGCTTAAACTTCCAAAACTTTGGAAAAAGCCATGTACCCTCCTTTGACACAAACTCACTTTTACTTCTTCAATTTGAGAATAAAGAAGGTTCACATGGTTATCAGGTGAATTCAGCATTAAAATATTTGGTATTGAAAAATCTAGGCACTTCCTTGAAGCATGTGATTCTTGATCCACTGTTTTTATTTCAATGTACTGTACTGTATAGTGGATCCCGAAAAAAACCCAATTCATTTCTATGTTTCTTTTTTATGCAAAAATTGTATCATTATATTTGGATCCCAAATTATCTCAATTTTGCATTGTTAAAAACAACTCACCTTCAGGTTTCAAAATTATTATAGACTGAGAAAACCAGTCTTGAGTAATAAACACAATCTCTTTCATCTTCCAAAAGTATTCCAAGCCTATGCTTTGCTATAAAATGAAGCAAATTTAAAATTGTCAAAGCTTTCCATACTGACCACATGTTGAGCAGCGCTTTTCCTTCAAAAACTTTAAATACGGTATTTATGTGATGACCCTTCTTCCAGTCTTATACAGGTGGTACCTGGCAATTTGACCTGCAATTTGAGAACCCTGCAGTTTGAAGGATAAATTTTCCAGGAGGTTTACATGTGATTTGACCTAGGCCCCACAATATTGAACCATAGAGATGGGCAAAAACATCAAATATAGAGTAGAAAACATTGCATTTAAAGTTGCTTAGCATTGCAACTGCTTTACAAGTCAACCCTAATCCAGCAATGGATTAGTGTCAAATTGCAGGGCACCATCTTCAACCCTATAAAATGGTTCTTCAAATCAGAACTGACTGTAAAACACAGTGATTGAGGCAAAGCAATCAAGAACTGCAGTGAAAAGGACTTGTATCCATCTTCACACCTGCACTTTCATCACTGAAGACCACAAGTTGCCAGAGAAGAACAGCAAGGTGAGGTTAATGGCTGCACCAAACATGGTGGTGCCAGCTGTCAATTCTTCAGCTGAAGATTGGGGAGTGTTTTGAAACAGCTTCTTTTGCATGTTCCCCAAGAGACCATCAGCACTCACAGAGATCACCAAAGCAGTGATGCCTGATAGAAAAAAGAAACACAGTTTAATTCACATTTTCATGAAGGACAGCCCCATTTTTTTTAATTCTAGAAATTTTCAAATGTTACACTGCATAAATACTAGAGGTCTAACAAAAGTTTTCAGGGTAGAAATGGAAATGGCATATAACTGAGCTGAAAAACAATTATTGTTCCAAAAAAAAACATTCTTTGGCACAAGAGCTTGAATTCAGCATTTGATTACATATTTTTCAGAAGATTTTTGCAACAGCACTCAGCAGCATTCTGCTCTTTACTTTCAGAATATAAATTAAAATAGCATATGACTGAGCTGAAAAACATTTGTTCTTGAGAAAAAGAAAGCAAATTTTGCCACAAGAAAATATGCAGTCCTGCTTGTCATATGTATCAGAAAATGCTTGCAAAAGTGCTAACTGAGCAGATTTTTTTTTACCCAAGTGCTTTTCCTTCAGAATTCTGGAAATTGGTAATTCCAGGGGTTACTGCCATTATTTGATAATAAATTCTGCCATTTTCATCAACAGCCGCCACTTGAGATGTGAATATGGCAGCTGATGATTCAAATGGTGGAATTATGTTGGATACTTGACCTGACCAAAGGCTATCAATGGAATTAATTCAAGAATTTTGATAGAGATGCTGGACTATGCCAAAAAGCTGCTCATGTTGCACTTTTGCAACCATTTGCATTTTTTCAGCTCCAAACCTCATCAACTCCAAAGGGCACATTCATAAACTTTGAGACTTGTTGCAACAGAGTCAAAAATTTTTAAACTTTGTTCTTAATTTCATAGCCCCGTCATTTGGCAACACTTCAGAGAGGTTCAACATACACTCTGCCAATTCTAATGCATTAAAAAAAAACAATTTTGGCATTGTTGAAACTCTGTTGGGTCTATTTCAAAAAAGTCTCATTTATCTGCTTTTTATATACTGGTTTACCCAGAAAACTGAAGTTGGGTGTGATGTCCTTTCCTGCCAGCACAAATGCTGCAACTCCAAAACACATCAAGAGACAGCTAGTGACATCTGAACACTGGTATTTGATCTTGAGCATAATCGCACTTCCAATCATCACAGGCAACAATTTGCACGATTTCACCATGATCTATAATAACACAAAGAAGAAGAAGAAAAAAGAATACGACATTTCGATCTTTTTTTTTGGCAGAAAAAGGGGCTTTTTCCAGAAAAATAACACGCATTTAAAAAATGTTTGCACGATTCTTGAATAGATTTCGCATAAATTTTGCAACTGACTCAAACATAACAAATGAAAACAAATTGAATACGTACATTTGTAGGATAGTTGACATATTTCAAGGAGTACGCTGAAAATCCGGAAGATGTCATGCTAATCGCACCCAAAAGCGCCAAGTGGGTTTTTGGCACGCTGTAAAAATCAAAACAACTCTGCATAACCTTTTCAGAACAGCGCCAAAAATTGTTTTTAAAAATTGCGCAATTAAAATTTATGAAAGGTAGAATGACAAACCTGAAAACGGGGATTCGTTGCTGATGCCAAGTCATGTGTGACACAGCACACATTGATTGGAAACAAAATATCATGGCAGCTACAAACCAACTGGCATCCTCAGCCAACTTGAGTTCCACATAATTCCTTTCCTGGAAAAGTGTGTAAATAAAGAAGAAAAGAAAATGTTGAACATTGCAACAACAAAAAGCCTCCACTAATAAATAAAATAAAATTATGGTTTGCTCTATAATAATCAGTGTACCCAAAACCAGAGCCAGTCTGCAGAAGTTTTTTTTTTTTTTGCTGGTCCAAAGAAAATTTTCAGCATAATACAAGAGTAGCAACAAAGTTCACTATCTTTGTGTAAAATTTTAGGAAGACAATATAATGGCAATTAAAATTTGTTGATGAAAAAAAAGTTTGCATTCTTCCAACACTTGGGACAAATTCTCACCTGCTGAAATAAATTATTTTAATTCTTCATTCTGAGAAACCTCTCTTCAAGACAACCTTTCTAATGTTTTGATGACATTCAGTTATAGCTGCTTCATAGGTACTCAAATTAATTTTTGAAAACAGCATACACTTTTCATTACCTTCCCATCATAAAGTCTTTCAAGCAAAACTTTTTAGAGTTTGCCAAAATGTTATGAAACTTTGCCAGTCAACAGAACATTCTTTGGGAATTTGTCAGTTGGCAACAATTTTTGTGGAAATTTGCCAGTCCTGGGATTTGCTGGTCAGCAAAACATTTTATTGACATTGGTAATTTTATGGAAATAAAAGCAGTGTTCCCCAACCCATGGTCCACTGACTGGCACTGGTCTGCAGAAGTTCTTTACAAGTCCTGAGGAAAACTTCTGCTACTTGGTAAATTTATGAAAAGTAGTAACAAAGTCTGTTATCTTATCCTGTATTATCAAAAACTCCAGTATTATAAAAATAGAGAGACAATGGAAATTGAAATTATCCAATGAAAATTAAATATTGACCTTTCTCCAAATGAAGCATTCTGTGTACAGTGGGACCCTGAGATCCAGACATAATAAGTGCATCAAGAGTGTCATCCTGATGTTGGAGTGCCCCCAATAAGTTGTTTCATTATCCCTTAGACTTTAATGCTAATGTATTTAATTGTTTCTCCTTCTGATTGAAAATTAGAAATAAGTCCTCAAAAAAATTTAATAAAAATTGATTCCCTCAAGATCAAGTTGTAGAAAACAGTGCAGAACTGAACCACATAGAATCTGATTATCTGGTATCCAAAGGAGATCAAAAAGCAAAGAAAAAGAATAATTCTTGCCAGAATATCCACAGATCATAAGAAAAAAGAACTATGAAAAATGAAGCACAAAATCGGCTTGCTTTTGATTATTAATTAGAGTGAATTCATCAGGCAATATTTTTTCACCTTTTGTGAATAAAAATAGCTTGATTCCTTTAAAAGGTTTCAAACTTAAAAAATAAAATGTTTTGATTTTCCGGGAAAAATTCAGAAAAAAGTTCATAACTGGAGCCAATGTCTGGATATTGGTCCTGTTCTTTTTTTTTTAAATCCCTAAGTAAAAAATTGTCCATATGTTACTTGGGATCTCCACATATCTGGGTCTCACTCTATTTATTCCCCATTGAAGTCCATTGGAAAATCAAATTAATTGAGAAACTTCTCGGTACACATCAAACTTTTATCTGGAAGCAGCTGTTGGGTTTGGTAACCAGGGTCCAGCACTGTATATATGCATGTCAGTCACTGTTATTACATAGTCATGAAAGGTTTTTCGTGCCATTTCACCTGGGTTATCCTTTTTTGAGGACAAACTTCCAACAACATAAGAGCTGCAAAAGATTATTTTATGTGACACACATATTAGTACTGTATGCACATAAAAAGCACTCCAAAAAAAACGGAAGTTCTGTGAAAAAAACAATTATGTCATCAGTTTTCATCAACCATGAGTTTAAATAAATTTTCGCATAAATAGTAGAATAAAAAGCATGACGTGTAATTCAAATGTTAGCCACTTCATTTTACCTTCATCAAATGGAATTTGCATAATAAGATCAGCACAACACGCAGAATAATGCTGCTAAAATATAATAAATTATAGAGAATAAAGCATTGCATGAGAAACATCCAATTCAATTCTCATCACAGATTTTGTCAAGAAAAACTCCTGAAAGAAATTTAGCTTTGAGTTGCTCTTTTATAAGTAAAAGAATTTAAACATCACAAGATGTTATTATTTGAGGTAATAATTTTTTGATGACTAACTTTTCATCTTAATTATGCTTAGGTGGAGCTCTTTGAACAACGGATTTTTCTCACTGCTGTATTTTTGGTTTTGGATAGTGGACACAGTTTCAGATAATGGTCTGCATGAAGTGAGATTGTCCTTAGAATCGCAGGTTGCTTTGACCCTTTCCATATACAGGGTTGACCAAAAAAAAGCAAACCAATTTTTTACTTCAAATAGCTTGGTAGCAAATTGAGCTGTGGCAATGAAAAAAAAAACACCAAATAAATGATTTTTCAATGCACCTTCAAATGGTAGGCAGTTCTATGGCCACAAGTACCACAGCATGGCCACAATGAATATTTGCATGAAAAATTGCAAAAATAAAAGTTGTTGGGCAACTTTTTCTCTTCAAGCTGCTGTTTTCCAGAGCTGTCTCCAGGGATAATTGGGATGCAGGACCAGTAAACTGGCAAATTTCTTGCTGCCTTAAATAGGAGGGTGCAGAAATTTCCGAACTTTAGGGGGTGGGGGTGAGAAGTGCAAAAGAATATTGAGCGAAGGGATGTTGCTCCACTTCTGAATCTTGATGCAAGCTTACTAGTTGCCAGCATTCAGCTATTTCAAGGCAAGAATCCATTCAAATTTTTTTGTGGTCCACCCAGTATTATTACTTTGACACTGAACAAACCTTTCAATAGCATAGACACATTATTTTTATTTACCTCAATGAGGAGAATTTTATTAAATAATGGCGCATTTAAGTTCATTATAACAATATGCAAGAAGTGATTAAGAAAATTTTGAAGATTTTTTTNTATGCTGAGTATACAAATTACCAAGAATTTATTCAAGAACCTGCAAAGGAATTTTCCAAAGCATTCAGCACAGATCTGCATTTATTCCAACTTGATGTTAGAAAATTTTTCTTCACTTTGAAATCTCTTCAGCAAATTGAGGTTTTTATATTCACAAAAAGTAAAACAAAACTGTATCATATATTCATTATGATTCCTAACCCAGAACAGGCCAATTTGGAGATTATTTTCCCCATCAAATGTGCAGAGCATAGGAAGACTTGTGCTTCTTTTCTTGCCATTTTCGGGTCATCTTCATGCAAACCAATCAAATTTATTTTGCTAAGTTATTTTCTGTATTTTGAAGTTGAGAAAAATCCTTCTATTCAATTTTGGGGGACTTCTTCCTAATTTTTGATGAATGGGAGTTCCAATCAAATATATTCCCTGTGAAGTCTACAGGAAATCCAACATTTGGATTTGGGAACGGGTTCAAGCACAAATAAATTCTGCATCTCAGGCCCACAATTATAATTTCCTAGATAAAAAAAATACCATTTTCTGCTAAATTCGATCAACTTCACACAAAAATGAACACTTTGTTCCTCACCATCAGGTAACCATAGGCCACAGAAGAGATCATGAAAACAGCAAACATGCAACACAGGTGAGACACTTTCCTCGCAATCTTTGCATCCTCCATGACGCGCAAAACACCAATAGGGAATTCCTCATCACTGTCCACCAACTCCATATATGCCCTCATAATGCGAAATTCCGTTTTTTTTTTTAAAGAAACACAAACGCAAACACACCAGGCACGAAAACCGAGACAATCGCGAATCAGCCAACATCACAAGAAAACCAAGGTTTTTACACTGCCACATACTCGCCCTTCTTCTTTTTCTTTTCTTTTGAAGCGCCGAGGGGGTGGGGGAGAAAACTTCAAACGTCACTTCGTCGCAGACAGGGAAAAACTGAAAATGTCGTCGTGTTCGTCGTCGTCGTCGTCGGCTGATGGAACAAAAAAAAATGTTTAGAAAGACAGCGAATTTTCCCTCACTCACTTACGACCTGGATAAGCCATGTTTTTTCTTCCTTTCCATACCCCCTCTTCTTCACTCCCTCCATCCGTCATTCGGAACATTCAATGAGGAAATCCTTCTGGGATGGGAAAAAAATTCCACTTCTCATCCACGCAGAAAAAATAGAATGAATATAAACGCAAACGATTTTTGCTGGAGAAAAATTCGCATTTGACATTTTTTTTCCTCCCAACCGAAAAAATTACAAGTGGGCTTTACAAAAAAAAAAAGTGTGGTTTTCAAAAGGAATTTCAGTCACTGTCGCCACCAGAGTCTGACGATGCGGAGCCAGAATCTTCGTTCTCACTCTTCTTGGACTTCTTTCCTTTCTGAAAAATGAATTCAGAGAAAACAAACAATTAGGATAAAATGTATCAGCTGTAAGAAAATTTCATATTTTCCCGAAAGTGAGACGCATTCTTTTTCAAGTTCCAGTTTCTTAAAAAAGAGAAAAATATAAGCGTGTCTTAGATTCCCATGCGAAAAGATGATTCATATTCAAATTTCGTCAATTCATCGCAAAACTTTCTAAAACACAGGATAGATTGTTCCGAGTGTAACTTTAGAAAACTAATAAAGACACGAAAAGAAAATGCAAAATGTATTCGATTTTTTTACTGAAGTAAAAAAAGATTATTCATGACAACATGATATTTATTCGAAAGGTTAATTTTACTGAAACAAATTGTATTGCTCACAATGATTTGGCATATTTTTGACCTGTCCTCTAAACAAGATTTGTTTCAGGGGAATAAAATTGCATATTATTCAAGACACTCAAGACTAATTTTAATGAAAATAATCACTTTACTGAAAATAACTCCACTGTTCACATGGATCGTGCATATTTTGGACCTCTACTCTTAACAAAGCTGTCTGCAAAATAAAAATAATACGATCAGGAATTGAGAAATGTATCGATTTCTGTATGTTGGAAACAATCTCAGTAACATCAAGAGTTTCTCTCTTTTTTTTTGGCAGTCGGACTCGGTTTCATTTCCCCAATGAAAAAAAAAATTATTTCTCCTCAATTTTATAAACTCGACAAATTTGAGGGCATATCGAAATTTCGGCAATGAAATCAATGGCATGATTGATTCACCTTGGGAGAATCGTCGTCAGACGAAGAATCGTCCGACTCGATGTATTCCTTGCTCTTGAAACCGGAACCGGATCCACCGGAAGCAGAGGCAGCGGTCGCGGATTTCCTCGGACTCGACTCGGTTTTCCGCGCCTGCTTCTCTTTGGTCGGCGACTTGGTCGCCTTGGCGGCTGCAGAGGCGGCTGCCGCTTTCCCCGACGCCTTCCACTCGCTCATCTCGGCGTCGTACTTCTTCTTCAGCTCCTCTTGCTTAGCTTCGTGCTCCTTCTTGTCCGACGGACCCATTTCACGCCACATTTCTCCAGCCTGAAAATTGCGGAAACACGGATGGGGTTTTTACCTCGGTTAACACATGCTTCGCACAACGGACTGCGGTTATGTTTCACGATACGCAAATTACCATCGTTGAAGAAAAACAGGTATTGTAAAAGTGGAAAGAAGTACTGTATCTTTTTTTCTTTTGGGGCGAAAAAAAAACATTTCCCTTCCTAAAATTGCCAGAAGAGCCTCTTTAATTGATCTTTTCAGGAAAGCAAAATTTGGAAAATATTCGAAAACGTATACTTTTTTTGAATTATATGAATAAAGAGAAATTGCAAGACCTTAGTTATTAATTCAAGAGCAATCGACGCAGGAATCGCAAAATACTATATTCAAATAAGTATCACCCGAATCTTTTCATCTGAGGAATAAAAATGAAAAGGGGGTGCGCGTAAAATGTTTCAACAGTTCAAGTGTGCATTCAACTTGATTCTTGTGGGATATTTTCATCATAAAAAATTATTTTCATGAAAAAAGACTGAAAACTATTTTCAGTCAGGTTCAATTAATGTATTGAAGTTTTTTCATGCATGAATTATTGCATTTTGAGAGACATTACAAATTGGGTGCACGTCTTACTCCGGGATAGAAAGTTTAATCAAATTTTAAGACTGATGATCCTGGGTGTGCTCAAGCAATTACGGTAGTTGAGATGGTGGAACGTGGAAGAAAAAATTTTAGAATTACCCGTATTTATAACATTAAAGCCCAAATTTTATTTACTTGCCAATTTCATTAGTCAAAACACGTCTTATAAATGTTTTTCTTTTTCCGCATGTCGATCCTCACCTTTTTGGTCAACTCCGTCACGCTGATTCCGGGATTTTTCGACTTGATCTTCTCGCGATTTTCATTCAGCCACAAGAAATACGCCGTCGGCGGTCGTTTCGGGCGTCCGTCATCCTCCCGCTTCTGCTTCTTCTTGCTCGTCCGCTCCTTCCTCGGCTTCGACTCCTTCTTCTTCTCCTTTTCCTTCTTCTTCTTCTTTTTCGAGGACTTCTTGGCGGAATCGTCACCGGAACCGCCGCCGCCGCCGCCACCGGCGCCGTCGTCATCCTCGTCCTCCGACGGCGTGCTCGACGCGTTAGAGTCGTACTCGAGATCCACGTCAGAACCTTCTTCCGCTGGCAATTTGAAGTCCTCATCCTCGGACTCTTCGTCGCCGTCGTCGTCGTCGTCTTCCTCGGCCTCGGCTTTCACGCGTTCCAAATAGGCGTCGTGGCCAGCGTGGCCCTTGTCGTCGTCCAACGGGCCGTCGTCCTGCAGAAGAAGAAAAAAAGATTCGAGCGACATCTATAGACCGATTTCTTGCAAACACACATTATTTATTTATTTTTCAATTTGATGAAAAATCATTCGAAAACACACGACATTGGAAAGGAGAATCGGGAAACTCACTCCTTTGCCTTTGGACTTGATCTTGAGCTTCTTCTGTGAGATGTAGTCGTACAAATTGCCTTGTTCGTCCTTGGCAATACTGCTAAACGTATGCAATGGTCCACCCTTCATCTCCACTTCTATATCGAAAGACCTGAAGAAGAAAAACACATAAATTCTCAATCACAAGAATAATTTTTTGTCGCGACTCTGGCTTTTTGTTTTCAATGGACACAAGCAAACAAAAGTCCTCAATCATTATTTGCACGCGAAGTTGAACTTTCATAACTCAAACCTTTCTATGTTGAATTTTCTTCAAAGTATGGTTCAATGCCCTCAGAAACAACGCATTAAAAACCTCTCTGACTTTAAGGATTTACCACTCAAACCTCCAATACTTGAATTCCCTTTAGTTCTTTTGGCTATTATTTTCATAGACACATGAGATAAGCAAGAAAAATGTAACTTGATCTGTTTTGAAAGGAAATGAGACTATTCGTGCAAGTAAAACCTTGCTTCCAAATTCAGCATCCCATAAACTTCTTCACAAAGCAGCTTTGGGCCAAATAAAAGAGTTCACAAACTTCAACTTCCTTCAATTCTCCTCCTCCGAGGCAAAAATTGTAGTTTCCCCTCACTCAAAAACTTCACATGTCCAGATACAGTACAAATGGTACCTCGCAATACAACCTCCCACAATTCAACCATCCAGCAATTTGACAGTAAAATTTGCTGGGAGGTTGACTACTTGACTCACAATTTGACCTTTGCCTTGCAATTCAACCTCATTTACCCACTTTCCTAGTGTTTCTTGCTGCTGTTTCTTGTCTCAAACAGTGTCTCACAATTCAACTGCTTTCCAATTTGACCCTATTCCAGCAACAAAATGGGGTCAAATTTCAGGGCAAAGCAATTCATGTATTCTGATTTCCTAATTAGGGGAAACTAGAATACATTAATTTTAAACAGTGTCCCACAATTCAACTGCTTTGCAATTTGACCCTAGGCCGGCAACAATATAGGGTCAAATTGCAGGGTACCATCTACATTCTACAACAAAGCTATATGTGTATTCTCGTTTCCTACTTGGGGGGAATTTTATTTTTTGATACAGCATTTCATGTTTACAACAATAAACTCTCATTTTCAGAAATTTGCTGCTTTTTTGTCACCAAAAATCTGACATAAAGGCACTCATTCAACGTATTGTATAGAAAACGACTTTGTTCTAAGCGATTATTCGTCATAAAGAGATTCATTGTAACGAGATTCTACTGTAAAACAATGTTCAAAAAGTGACTGAGGAGATTTTGCAGAGGTTTCTATTATTCTACGTTGAACATAAAAATTTCCCAAATCAAATTTGTTCGCTGGTTCCTTGGAATTTGCTTTTATTTACAGCATTTCCTGCGAGAGTTTTTCAAGATCTATTGAAAATTTCTCAGGAATATCTCAAGAAGGAGGAAAAACTACGAACTCACCTGGTACTTCCGCCAGACCGGGCAAAATTGACACTAAGAACCTCTTCAAACTTGACATAAATCACTTGCGGCTTGTAAATGTACAAGAAACTTCGTTCCAGGGGGTAAACGTAACCCGCCGAGGCCTTGTAAGTACAAGGCACACACACACTCTTGTTTTTACCCCGAAACGACCCCGGGGAAGTGATTTTCCTCCCAACCAAAACTCGCATGAGCCTCGACAGGATCTCGTACGTGGGCCCAGTCATTTCCTTTTCCAATTTCCCGCCAAATTTCGACTCGAGTTCTTTCTCCGACTGCGGCAATTCCAACGTCGTTTCGTCTTCTTTGTTGAAGAGCAGGATGAGGAATGGGTATCGGGTCATACCTTGCTTGATCGGCGGGTCCAGGTTCATCACGAAGAATATCTGCAGCGAAAAAAATACATTTCCATCTTCCTTTTTATTGGTTTTCATTTCATTGGGATCCAGGAAAGAGATACAGTAGCACCTCGTCGCAAAGAATCTTCTTATAAAAAATAATTGATAAGAACGAATTATTTTTTTTTAGCCCTGTCCAATAGCTAAATTTTAATGTAAGTTTTCTTTATACAGTAACGATTCTATCCTCATGACGAAGGTACAAGTATTTCACTGGACCCAATTACTGTACTTGGGTGTAACGAGATTTTGCTGTATCAGCATTTACAATGTTTAAGGTAATGTCTTTTTTCCTTTTCTTGTTCGATTTATACCACATACCGTACTCACTCAGGTACCAAAAGCCCCTTTGTACTCAAAATTGCGAGAAAAAATGGGGTACACGTCAAATAGAATAAATAAATTTTTTCCAAGGTTTGTAAGTTTAGGAATGCACTATACTTGATTCTAATGGGAAATTTTTGACCAATTCCTCATCAAAAGAACTTATTCCCACGGAAAAAGTTGAATATCAATTTAACTTAGTTTCAATTTGTTTTGAAATTCAAATTTCGTTGTTCTAATTCTTGAATCATTGCATTTTAATGATAATTCCCTGAAGAATACATCGCACAAATTTCACTTCATTCCAAGATCCCAAATTTGTACATATGAAGTTCATTCTTCCGAATGAAAAGGAATTTAAATGATTCTTCGACAAAGATGGGTTAGATATCTGAGAAGTCCTTCGAAAAGCATAAATAACAGTGAAAGAAAAAATTATAATTCTGCGTGTCTTGAGACATTTCCGGCATGCGAGTCGGTCTTCGGAATAAATTTCCCCCCCGAAGAAATTCCAAAATTCGAAATTTTAGTCGTATCGAGTCTTCCCACCCACCCATTTTATTTTGGTCAACTTAAGTTACCTGACGATTGTCGTTGTGCGGCAAGAGGAACAAGCGAAGCACAGTCGTCATCGGGATTTTGTAATCGAAAGTTTTGCCGTGAAGGTGCACAAACTTCTGATAGATCTTGAATTCGTAACGACCACGAGGAGTGAGACACTGAATTTCCTTGAAGGACGCCATCGCGTCGCCCGTGGCAGATATCACCGACGCTTGGCTCATCACTTGCTCTTGGAAGGCCTCCACGGCGTCCTCTGATCCGGAAACGACGTCTCCTGATGTCGGAATGTGGAATCGAAGCTCCATCATCGAAACGGGGGCTACGTCACTCTGAGAATGAATGGAAATTGGCACCAGGTTCACGCAGAAAATACGCGAAATATCGCACAACTTAGCGTAATGTTATTCACGAAATTTTACGAAGGATCAGAGCACAAATACGCCCTCGAACACGTATTTAACACTCGGCAGCGGGAAGTTCATGTACCTGATGAAACTCCATGATGACTTCGTTTTTGCCAGTGGTGCAATTCGAAACTTGATTCAATGGCAACTCGAACGCAGGGTTTCCAGCAATGTCAAAGGTCAAAACCTTGCCTTTGAACCGAGCTGTGCCCCAATTCCATCCCTTGATACACAAGTCACGCTCTTCACAAGGTAATTCGAAGGAATTCGAAAAAAATTTCGACAGCTTCTCACGTAACTAAACCGAAGAAAAGATTACTGAATAAAATCATGGATGCGAAGAGAAAACAAAAGATTGCATACGGCTTCGCGAAAAGGTCCGAAGCGATGAAGAACACCGTCTTTAGTGAATACACGTAAGCCCCACTTGCCGGCGAGACGTTGCCAATTCAGGAGATCAATTTGGTCAGACGCGATTGTTTCCACGTTCCCGGTCTTTCCTTGCTTGAATATGATTTCGTTGTTCGTAAACTTCAGTTTCCCGGGCATCTGATGAGTAGAATCGTACATATCAACAATGCGTAGGCGAAATGAAAGGGTTCAAAACATAGAACATTTTCTCTTTTTAAAAAATGGAGAGGCGACCGAAAGTGGTTTTTCAATTTGGTAACCGATCAACTGCTCGAATAAACATCTTCAAAATACTTCAGGTCATCAGTGATGAACAAAAAACGTGAAGCTTACCATAGCACCCATGAATTCCTGGGAGATATCATCGAACTCGAGATTCTCCGACATGTCGAAGCACGCTGTCGTCCCCGATATTCGATCTCAACTGGTGATTATCACCGCTTTCAATAAAATCTTTCAGACTTCCTGAGAATATCAAAGAAACAAACACAAGAATTAAACCTGCTGCATACCGGTGAAAGTTTAGAATTTAAAAAGCTCATCGATTGATTCCATCACGTCAAGAAAAATATATACAGTACAGTACTGAACAAATGCAGCACAATGGTAAAATTGCGCGAAACAGTAAGCTAGCCCACTTACACAGTAGGGCGACATCTAGCGGACACTTCCTTGAACTATACTCAACCGTCCAAAGAGCCCCTCGCACTGAAGCTTATCTGATCAAGGATGACAGGAGGAGTGGAAGCG